TATTATTTAATAGTTCAGTAATAATATATCAGATATTGTCAAAGATCCAGCACAATATAAGACACCGAGCAATAGTTGATTGTTTTTTCGAATTTAAATGCCTAGCAAGGTCTATTCAAAATCTTTATTAAATCCACTTCAAATCAAACTATTAAAAAAATTGTTTTGTCTTAATTTCTCTGTATTTTAAACAAATAGTCACTCAAAGTCAAAGTCAAAATCATTAATTTCAATTAGACCAGGTCACTTTTGAACGTCAACGACAAAAAAGAAGTGAAGCTAGTTACTCATTCCAAGATGTAGATTCCTATGGAGAAGAACGAGCAAGAAACTCTTTAAACTCTTTTTTGGTTACCTACTCTTTTTCAGTTCACAATACTATTCTCTAGTTACATAGTTTTGTTGGTTCGAGTGTGAATACAATGGAACACCTAAATCCACTAAAAGCTATCCTCAAAAAATAGCTTCTAATGCCTCTAAATATCTTCAGCATCGCTCCATACTGGAAGCTCAGCCTCTGCCACAAATTGCCTGCAAGCGCGCGACCTGCCCCGTTGTGATGCTAACCAGTATCGTTTGGTTATTACTTGACTAATATGGTTACGGGGACCATTGTAACCAACAGGACTGGTTACTTAATTAATTCATTAATAACCAGTGACAAGATGATTATGATACCTTCTCTACGTGGGTATGTGCGATTAGACATTTAAGCATTTTACTGACTGCCTCGTTAGCCGAGTGATCGCAAGTGCGACTACCGGGCAAGGGGTCTCAGGTTCTATTCCCGGATCGGGCAAAGTACTACAGCGTTTTTTACAAAATTCTCAGTAGTTGCACGGAGTCTGGAATTGTGCAGGGTATATGGCAATAGGCTCGGCCCCTATACATGGGACTTATATCATAAATATTGAAAAGTGGGTGTTACATTGTACAGTGGCATTAAGTGCTATGTAATGAGCACCTCTACCAACAGGGCGTGATGCTGTCATGATATGATATTATATATGTATTTTGCGAATGTCATACGATCGAATTTGCTAGCGGAGTATCAATCAATTAATTTACAAAATATCAATTAAAGAATTTTCGGAATTTTCCAATCAGGATTAATATGTTCAAAGAAATATTTAATGTTCCGATAATCATGATAAACTATATAAATTCAGACACGGAAGTTTCGATAATGTGTATTACATTGAATATCAAAATGTCATATTTATACATATGTACCTACATATCATTAAAGTCATATTGGCATAACAATATTGTACCTATCTATTCATATATTTTGACCTAGTCTCATGAAATAATCATAAATGAAATAAACTGCTAAACTGCCTGCGGCTTCGCCCGTGATGTTAAAAAAATAAACAAGTTACACAAGCGAATTCATTTCTGTAAATAAGCTACAAGGTAGCACTTTTAGAACGATGAGGCCGACATTTCCTAACTGACTACTCTGAGCACAAGCCGAAACAAACTCAGAGGTCCGTAAAACAATGACTGCCTTGTTGGCCGAGTGACCGCAAATGCGACTGCCGGGCAAGAGGTCTCGAATTCGATCTCAAAAGTAGCACAGAGTCTGGAATTGTGCCCGGAAAATGGCAATAGGCTCACCCCCTATTACATGGGACTCATAATATATATAGTGAAAAGTGGGTGTTACGTTGTATAGTGGCATTAAGTGCCGTAATGTACATCTCTGCCTTCCCCTTCAGGGATAAAAAGGCGTGATATTATGTTATGTTATGCTACAAAAATTATACTACAAAAAAGCTTCGTTTTGTGACGTGAAACAAGACAAACAATTATATACGTTTAATTATTAGTGACAAAGTGAGGAGTGTGTAATCAAATATTACTTAGATTACAGTCATTACGGATCTTTTTTAAATTGGTCTCTATAATTTACAATTTTGGACTTTCCACAATTCTTATCCAGTAGGGCTATATCAAAGAAAACATAAATTAAAGAGTTATTGACTTATCTTAATTTTATCTTGACTGTTCTAGAATTTAATAATAAAATGGTGGAAAAACATACATACATACATAACTTCACGCCTGTCTCCCATGGGGGTAGGCAGAGACTAAGGAACGCCAATTACTACGATTCTTACATACCTCTTTCGCTTCATTAACAGTCATCAATCTTTTCATGCATGCTCGTCGGTTAAGGGTACTTTTAATTTGGCCCTTCTTTAATATATCGCCAATCTGGTCACTATATGTCCGTCTAGGGCGCCCTCTACCGACGCGACGGCTCCATTCATATCCGCTCTGTATACTTCTTTCGTTACTCTACTTTCATCCATCCTTTCTACATGTCCAAACCAGCGTAACATTCCCTTTTCAATCCTTGTCACTACATCGTCTTTCAATCTACACCTCTCTCTAATAACACTATTTTTCACTCGATCACTCAATTTTAGTCCACACATACTTCTCAGGGCTCTCATTTCCACCGCATTAATCCTGCTTTCATGCTTCTTCTGCCACACCCATGATTCACTACCATACATAAGCGTTGGTGTCAATACACACTGTATTACAGCAAGTCGAGCTTTGCTGGATATTATTTTACTCGACATTACAGAGTGTAAAGCACCATTAACACTATTTCCCGCTATCACTCTCTTTTCAATATCCCCGTCACACTTTCCATCTCTCGTAAATAGTGATCTCAGATACACAAATTCATTCACTTGTTCCAATTTTTCATCACCTATCATTACCTGACATTCTATTATCACCTCATTTCTTTCTATCACCAACACTTTCGTCTTGTTCACATTTATTTTCATACCTTTCCTTTCAAATGCATCACTCATAGCAGTGACCATTTGTTGTAATTCTTGGGCCGACGAGGCAACAAGCACCTGGTCGTCGGCATACAACAATGTTTTAATCACTGTGTCCTTCATCCTTAATCCAGACTCTCCTACTTTCAGGTCGTTCAAACAGCTGTCCATAAATAGGTTGAACAGCCAAGGAGATGCTACACAGCCTTGCCTAACACCTCGATTAATGTCAAACCACTCCGTGTAGTCCCCATTTATTCTGACACAAAAGGAAAATAGATTATTCCCATTTTCCAAGTAAGTTTTTTGACTGCCCCATTAGCCGAGAGGTCGCAAGCGCGACTGCCGGGCAAGGGGTCTCGGGTTCGATTCCCGGGTAGGGCAAAGTATTACTGGTTTTTTAAAAAAATCTCAGTAGTAGCACGGAGTCTGGAATTATGCCCGGAATATGGCAATAGGCTCACCCCCCATTACATGGGACTCATAACAAAAATAGTGAAAAGTGGGTGTTATATTGTACTGTGACATTAAGTGCCGTTTTAGGGCAACTATCATTAATTTTCTTTTTAAACATAAATACACTATACTATAATACTTTTTAAACATAAATTGCTGACACACACGTCATACTCGTGAACGGGTGCCTTCTGCTGGGTCAGGTCAGCTCTCCCATCGAGTTGGTGGGCTGATTTCGTTCGATGAGCCGTCGAAATAGATGTAAATGGATAATACTTACTTACTATGTAATTATTCTTGTAGTAGTAATTCTAGATGTGGTTAATTGTAGTGTGTAACTAGGTACTTACTTTATAAATATTGATTAGAAGTATTGTAAAAAAAAATGTATGACAAGGGCATGAACCAAGAGTCCGAAAAGAATTAATATGTAACATTAAAAAAACCAATAAAATAACCTGAATGATTAAAACACAGAGGTTATCATTCAATCACCTATGTTTAATCAATGTAAATCAATCAAAAATTTATACAACCCAGAAATCAAACCCAGTCATACTCAACAAACGACATCCAACTGACGCAATAACTTTCCAACCTAACTACAACATCTGCCTACCCCCTTTTGAAGGCAGAATGCGTCATTGGTGCGTATGCGCAGAATTTGAGTAGATGCACGTTTTCAAAGTGTGTCGAGGACGAGACACACGTCAATGTGACGTTGTGTATAATCGTAATCCGATGTATGCGCGTGCGACAATACGATCTATGATTTGTGATTTATCGATTTCTTTTTTTGAATTTTGTGATGTTGATTGGTGTTTAGTTTTGTGAGTAGAGAGTGGTGTTAATGTGTGGATAATAATTTTATGTTTGCAATTATCTGAATGTGACTTACCCTTTTAGAATCAATCGGGCTGATGCCGATACGGAGCCGGGGAGGACTTAACGGGTTGCCGGGGCTCCGGCTCGAAGGGCAGGAGTAGGAACGGGGTGGTTTTTAGTCAGTAAGAGTCTGACACACACTCCCTCTCGCCTCACCCAAGCGGGTAAAGGCATTCGATGATTTTTCCCCCTTAAAAAAATCCTACTTCAGAATTGTTTAAGTACTTTCTTAGTGCGTAGTTTTTCATTTCCCTTTAGATAATAGGATACAAAAATAGACCACTTCAAGACCTAGAAGAAGTTTTATTAACTTAAATTACTAAAAAAAATGAAAGAATAATTGGATCAAGAGGTTTCTTTGTGGAAAAATGGATTTTATTTTTATATTGTTTTTATTGAAAAGTACTCGTAATTATATTATATTCGCTTTGTAGAAACCTTTTGTGGTTGGACTTTATGATAGATGAAAATTTGCCTAGCATAGCAACACTGTGATGAATATTTTTAGGAGGATTTTCATAGAAATAGGAAAAGTTATTGGGGAACAATTTCATTTTCCGTTAAAATTGGGATAAGCTTCTAAATAATTACAAGTCAAAAATTTTGGGATATATAGGTAAGTTATATATAACTAGGATTATCAAAATACTTAAACATATATATATATGTATAACTCTAGTCACTGAAGCATTCTCCTCTTTGAGTTTTCGTATCACTCAGAAATAAAGCTTAAGAATTCCCGCTCTGATGGAAAATCACCCAGGTGGGAGCAGTCATGCTCATCGAATGACTGCTCCCGCCTGGGTGAGGCGGGAGGGAGTGTCAGACTCTTACTGACTAAAAACCATCCCGTTCCTTCTCCTGCACTTCGAGTCGGAGCCCCGGCAACCCGATAAGTCCTCCGCGGCTCTGCAGTCGCGCAATACTGTTCCATCAATCAACCGCAGGGACTTTTTTCATAGGATAAGCTGGTAAACGAGCAGACGGATCACCTGATGGTAAGCAATCGGCGTCGCCCATAGACATCCGGAACACCAGAGGCGTTACAAGTGCGCTACCGGCCTTTCGGAGATTTTTAGGGATTCAGGATTAGGCAGATTGGGATTCTACTATTTTACACTAACTAGAATTTTTAAGACAAAATCGAATCTGTATCCTTAACCAACGAAGACAGTCAATACACGTCCCTTTTACACGCATAGCAACACCCTCTTTAATGAAACAGAGTGCATATAGACATAAAGAACCTAAGTTTATATATAAAAGTCAAGTGTTATATAAGGGGCGATCTTATTAATGGCTGGAGTTGCCTGACGTCCTAACTGTTGCTAAGGAGACATGGTAAAGAATCACACACACTTACGATTTCTAGTAGCCAATAGAAATATTTTTGTCGCATAGCGGGTAAACTGATCAACTCGATGGTTAGCGCTCAACGCCGCCCATGGAATTGCGGGCGCTCCAGAGGAGTCGCAGTTGTGTTGTCGGCCTTTTCAATGGAATGCGCTCATTTCTTGAAGGTTTGAAGGTCGTATCAGTTCAAAGGTGTCGCTATAGAAAGTAACTATTCAAGATGCAGTGAAGAAACCAATGTTTTCCACAATATCGGGTCTACGCTGTTTTCTTTAGTTAAAGTGTATTTTAAGCTTGTATCACGTCTAAATGCTAGATTATAATGTTTTAGGCGTTGACCTAACGCCTATTAACTACGCTTTAGAAACTTGCCAGTTCTGTAGCGGATGCTGACACTACAAGCCTCTATTTAACAAACTCTACACTTTACCGACTGAGGGAAGTGGAAACTATCGTTGATTTTCTTCTCCTCTTATAATATCTTCTGATTCACCTCGTTGCGGGAACCAAGACAGTTATCCATGTCCATGGGACGCGCCGGACTTCAGTGTTCCGGTGTTTTCATGGTTGTATTGACTGTGGATCCTGATGTCAGAAATTGTGATTTTGGAAGATTGTAGCGAGCTTATCCCATTAAATAAGAAGTCACACTTTAATAAAAATGCCTTAATCTGATCTCTCAATCTGAAGATTACTAAAACATATTATATAATCATTTATCATAAAAGAATTGCGATATTAGACCATATCTCTTCCCTATCTGTACAACTAAGCATAATTTAGAATAGAACACGCCTAATTGTTATCTCTTTATATTATAGTCTAGCCGGACTATTTTATCACAGGTTACCTCATCGCTCGAGGGATTACATAATTTTACTGTTAAATACAAAATCATTTTTGTGTTTTTCAATTTTCAGAATGTTCCTTGTAATATTAAAAATATAAAAATTATTAGGATGGCTACATGCACAAAAAATCGACGTGAAACAACGCTTGCGTTGTGTTTCGTCGTGTGAGTGAGGTTACCGGTGGCTCAATTACCCCCCTATCGGCCCATTCGTACCGGCTTGATAGGAGTGATGCCACCGCCTCACGCAATACCGACGTAAAACAACGCTTGTGTTCAGTTTCGTCGTGTGAGTGAGGTTACCGAAAATCCAATAAGCCCCGTTCCCAATCTCCCCAATCCCCGAATCCCCAATAATCCTGAAATTCTTAAACCCCAAAAGGCCGGTAATAAATGAATGAATGAATAAAAATACGTTTATTCGACATAAGACATGCACGCTAGTAAAAAAACTTATACAATGTGACATATAAACGTAACGCACTTGTAACGCCTCTGGTGTTTCCGATGTCCATGGGCGACGCCGATTACCATAAGGTGATCCATCTGCTCGTTTACCGCCTTATTCGATACAAAAAACTTGGTTTTAACATTTAATAAATCTCACTGGCATCCCTATAAAAAATAAAACGTAGATATATATATATATTTACAAAGTTTTATCATTTCCATCTCACGATATTAATTTATCTTCTCACAATATTTAACACAATATACTTACGGAACTGATAATATTCTTATAGATAACTTTATCAAATGTTTGAAAAGCCTTTGTGATATTTAATTAGACATTTATTATCTAAAGTACTGAGATTCTTATTATCTTAGTGAATTTGTTTTAATGTTCGTTTTAGGCGTACATATTGTGTTCACAAATTGAAGAATGATGAAAGTATAATTTGTTTTAGAAATGTGTACCTACTGGTAAGTAATATATATACAGTGCTTAAGTTGAAAAAAGACATATATATATACTTTAAAGGGCATATTCTAGTTGAAATTGACTAACATAAGAAAATGGCACAAAAGAAAAAAGAAAAGAATAAGCACAAAGACAATTTTCTAATTTTCATAAATTCTTAATCTTATACTTATCTCAGTAGTATAAAACAAAGTCGCTATCCGCTGTCTATCAGTCCCTATGTATGCTTAGATCTTTAAAACTGCGCAACGGATTTTGATTTGGTTTTTTTAATAGAGGTAGATAGTGATTCTTAAGAAACATTTATATGTATAATACATGCATATTGCACCCGTACGAAGCCGGGGTGGGTTGCTAGTATAAATATATAAACCTTATAATATATAATATAAATCTTATAATATTATTATAATAATAAACCTGAAGAATTTGTTTGTTTCATCGCGCTAATCTCAGTAACTACTGGTCTGATTTGAATAATTCTTTTTGTGTTGGATAGCGCATTTATCGAGGAAGGCTATAGGCTATAAAACACGTTACGATCAATAGGTGCCGAATAGAGCGGGTAAAACCTCGCAATAGCAATTATTACTATTATACTGTAACTTAATTTAAACAAATATTAAAAAGCAATGGGCTCACTCTGTAACTGTCGATAGATCTCTTCCTTTCCCTTCAAAAATTATAAATATATCCCGAATATAAGCCACATATAGTTCAGTAATTTGGTAACTCTGAACTTTCCGGGTAGCTCTCATATTTCCCTCCTTAATGATCGGACTAATATGACATTTAATAAACAATAAAATCAAGACGTTGCATGATCAAAATACTTAGGCAATTATCAATCGCTGCACTCGTATTATTTTTACCTAACCGACAAGAAGAACATCCGACAACCAACTCAAAAGTCGCACGACACAGTCGCATCTCTGCAACTAGCCAGCTAAAGATCCAAAGTCCACAATTAGATTGCACACACTCGCAGTACCCGATGACGGTTGCAGTCGCCATGCAGTCTCCAATGCATGAGCAATTGACTCCTGACATTAAGACCTGATGATGACGTGACTCCAAGATAATTAATATGACTGACGAAACACCGGCTTTTATTGCGTTTGAAGATTTTAGTTTATTGTTAACCGACTTCAAAGAAAGGAGATTCTCAATTTGATCTGTATATTCTTTATTTAAATAATTCTTCTGTAAGTGTGTATGTCACTGAACTTCTCTCAAACGATTGGACCGATTTTGATGAAATTTTTATGTGTGTTCAAGGGGATCTGGGAATGGTTTAGATTTACAAATCAGCCCGGCAGATGGCGCTGCAGTCGGTTTCTAGGTTATTTATCTATACCTATTATTACAGGAAAACGTCTGTCGGGTCCGCTAGTTTGTATATATTATATATATATACACATTTACAAAAATGAGATTACACATTTATAAAAACCATATCAAAACATATATGTTTTATGTTTGTTAGGTACATTTAGGAGAAGGTTTAGTATATTAATTATCTGACTTCAAAAGAAGAGAGAGTTGAAGTAAGTTTTTTTTTTAAACGTAGTTTATAAGAGAATTATTTTGTGAATAAGGGCCAAGTGGTTTCCGGTTTTTCAATAATCAAGAACCGAAAACGTAAGAACGTAAGAATTTCTGGAGTGTATTTTAGGATCACCTTTATTACAATTAAGGCTCTTAATACATATATAATATATAGGGTACATTTTTATGGTATAAGCCAGTAAACAAGTAGACAGATCACCTGCGTCGCCCATGGACGCCCGAAACACCAGAGGCGTTACAAGTACCTTACCGGCCTTTTGGGAGTTAAGAATTTGAGGATTGTTGGGGATTCAGGGTATGGGGAGGTTGGGGAGGGGGTAATTGGGCCTTTGGTAACCTCACTTACACGACGAAACACAATGCGTTGTTTCACATCGGTTCTCTGTGAGACCGTGGTATCACTCCGGTCAAGCTTCGTGCTGAAGCATGGCTCTCCCACACTTAATACCTATTGAAAATATTTTCAGGAATAGCAATTTTGATGCTATTTTTGTAACTGCCCTATATTTTATAACGGTACCTAACAGTAAATGTAGGCTCATGGTCGATTTTTTAAATGAAATTCATCACTTTTCAATTCATGTGACCGCCTTGAAATTCAGACATGTTTCGACATGTCCGATCACGTTGTCACATGTCTTTATAAAGCACATTTGGTTGCCATATGCCTTGTTAACTTAATTTTTCTGTACTTGTAAGTACGTGACGCATTTCTGTGGTGGAATCATCTTCTCGAAGGGATTTTGCAATCGCAAACAACAATATCGAACTGCCTATTCTGTGAAAACATCTCAAATGTGATTGTTCTATTATTTTTATGGGATAAGCCGGTAAACGAACAGACGGATCACCTGATGGTAAGCAATCGGCTTCGCCCATAGACACACGCAACACCAGAGGCGTTACAAGTACGTTACCGGCCTTATGGGGACTGAGTTTGAGGATTATTAGGGAATAATAAATTGTGCCTCCGGTAACCACACTCACACGTCGAAACAACGCAAGCGGTGTTTCACTATGGTTCATGAGCAAAAAATATCTGGATCGATCCTCTCCTAGCGAGCAAGTTGGTATTATTAACTCTAATAGTGCAGAATCTGTATTCTGCAATTGGTACTTGGGAAGCCCTGCACCTCGGAAAACATAAGTGGCGAATTTTAATACGCCTGTCTTTTAAAAATGCAATTTTTGACGCCAAATCTAAATTGGGATGATGACAGGGTATGAAAATTAAAAATCTAATTAGTCCATAAATTAGGTAATTAAAAAATATTAGTCACGTATTTTTTTATTTTGTTATATAATTAAACAATACTTAGATTAAACGAATCAAAGTTTAGGAGTGGGGGCTAAAATGTAATTTCTACGTATAAAATGTAGGTACATAGAAGTGACGTCACGCGACATTTCAAATCAATATATCGTCGATAGTATTCGTTTGTGTAAGAAAATAAAAAATACGTTTCTAATGATTTAAAATAATCTACCAGAGGGACATTAAAATGAAAATTAGGCATCTACCCTATTTGAAGTCCGTTGACTTCAATCAACTTCTGTACTCTGTCTACCTGGGTAACCTAACCCGGAGCTGCAAATGATTTAACTGGTTACCGAAGGCTTAGCTCGAAGCGAAGTAGGACCGGCTAGTTTTTAGTCAATAAGAGTCTGACGCTACGTCGTCCCATCTAAGACGGGATGACATTGGATGATCCTCCGTCAAAGAACAGCGTATGACAGCTGTGAATAATAAGTCTACAATTCTGACACGTGTAATTTATACGTAGCAACAAAAAATGTTCATCTGTTACATACCGGCACATAAATTAAGTACCTAGGTCTTAATTGTCATTCATTAAAATGCACTCGTGTTGCTTCAATTGCTCTATAAATTGAACACGTGTATGTATAGAGGGGGAGGTGGAAGGGGGGATGTTAGTCATAGAGATAACAATCTCGCATAGACACCAAGTCTAAGACTGGTTCGTCGGTCTAGTGTTGAATGAGGTGAGGTTTTAACTTCAGTAGGTCACAATATAACGTTTAATAACTAAGGAATAACAAAATTTCGAAATTTGTCATGATATCTGAGTAAAATTTAGATTCATTAAATTCTCAGTAGTAGTGTACGGTGTCTGGAATTGTGCCCGGTATATGGCAATAGGCTCACCCCCTATTACATGGGACTCATAACATAAATAGTGAAGAGTGGGTGTTACATCGTACATTGGCATAATGTGCACCTCTACTAGCCCTTCAGGGATAAAAGATGTGATGTTATGTTATGTAATTTAGATTCATAATATTTTATGTCCAGTACACCATCCATAAACGATTTAAGGATCAAACTGATAGCAACAAGTGCTTCGCAGTCAGAATTTCTTGATTAAACAAGGTCAGCAACGCACTTTTTTTTATATTTGATGGGGCGACGTTTGACCACTATCTCATCTGATGGTAAGCGATGATGCGGTCTACGATGGAGCACGTCGTCCCATAAGCAACCTATTCACTCGGGCCTTGAAGACTCCCAGGTTATACCCTTCAGGAAATACAGACTCTGGCAAAGAATTCACTGGCACTTGGGACTCCTCTGTTGTTGTGGATTCCCATGGGCGACGCTGACTGCTTGCCATCAGGGGATATGTCTGTTCGTTCACCTCTATTCCATGAAAAAGAATAATTTACATATTGTTATTGTATGTGACCCTATTTAATAAAGTATCGTTTTTACGATGTACAATTTAATCACTCATATTGGTTTCTTTTTTCCAGATTATTCATGTTCGCTCCGTACTTCAAGCTACAACAGATCACGCCCAATACCTAAGTAAGTCATGTTTTACTAAGCTTTTGATTGGCAAACATACTTTTGAAGGCAAATTCTAAACAAATTCTACAGATTAACCTTTACTTATATGTAAAGAAGCAACCAGTCGTTTGAGTTTCAAGCGGAGGGCGCGTGAGTACATTAGCGGAAAGCTGGCAGTTTCATAACATCCTTCCTAATTTTTCATCTTGTTGTAAGATAGGATAAATTCATATACGGTTCACAAATATATTTATGTGTATAATGATACTTATATTATATAAAATTATATATATGTATACGATTATATTTACGTATTTTATGTATGCTTTTGATACCCTTTTATTAATTTGGATAATTACCACTATCTCTCATAACAGTTTTGCAGCTTACCACCTACCACATACATTTCTGCACTACCCAAAGGATGACTGGCAGAGAATGCTGTTAGCATTAATTAAGTCCTTCTTACGCAATTGTATATAACTTAAATAAATAAATAAATAAAGAGTCAAATTGAGATCTTTAAAATTTAGTCAGCAAGCGAATCGAGTTGAATGTTTGCATGGTTAGCGCAGTAGCTGGCCTACCGGCTACAGCACAACGTGTTGCAGGTTCCACACAATGCATATTACATGGAAAAAGTATTTGCGTGATATATGAAACTATATCTTTTACCCGCGGCTTCGCTCGCGTCACAAAAGGATATGTGACATATACCATAACATACAGCGCCATCTATACTAATACTTTTGTTTTCCCTCACCCGAGGGTATGTATAGATACCGGAAAAATTTGATATGGGTATATCAAATTTTTCCGGGATAAAAAGTACCCTATTATTTAATCCGGACTTCTAACTTTACGTTTGCAAAAATTCAAAGCGGAAGAAACAAACAAACAAACAACCAAACTCACTTTCCCATTTATAATAGTAAAGATTGTATGTTCGTAAACGCACTCATGACATAGAAGGAAGTCCTCCAAAACCAGTGTTAGTTGTCACAAAATTACAACGTGTTTTGAAAAATGTTTTAATCATTTAGTTAAATATTATTTTAGTTTGACACTTGCTTGTCTGTCTTCCTATAATCTACTCTTTAAAATCCTTAATATCATACTTGTGAATAATGGATAGAATGCATAATATTGTATACTAGCTACTTCTGCGTGGTTTCACACGCTCTGCTCAGCTCCTATTGGTCGTAGCGTGATGTTTTATAGCCTGTAGCCATCCTCGATAAATGCGCTATCCAACACAAAAATAATTATTCAAATCAGACTTGTAGTTACGGAGATTAGCGCGTTCAAACAAAAAAAAACAAAAAAACAAACTCTTCCGCTTTATATAATAGTATAAGATAATAGTATAAGATTTCAAATAAATACTTTAACTTAACTTGGTTAGAGTACATGATTATAACAGTAAATACGATGTAGCTACTTGGCCTAACTGTTTAATGAATAAGTTAAAATTATAACTATCTTATTTGCTATGGTGATCCTTGGTGATACATTCATTGACCATAGCGTAAAGGGTTTGACTACTAGGAATTTGAACTTCGATATTGTTTTTTCAAATTACAAAGGCAGTTGGACTTTGTGAAGGTTTTGTTGACCTAATTATTATGTATGTATATTAACAACTTAACTGTCGCCATACATTAAAATATACAATTACCCTACATCCATTATTTTTTTAAAGTTCAGGTTTCTGCTACATATCCCAGTAGATTTTATTAGAATTTAGTGCCACACTTATATCAGAAATACTTCCGCGCGGTTTCACACGCTCTGCTCAGCTCCTATTGATCGTAGCGTGATGTTTTATAGCCTATGGCCATCCTCGATAAATGCGCTATCCAACACAAAAAGAATTATTCAAATCAGACTTGTAGTTACAGAGATTAGCGCCTTCAAACAAACAAACAAAAAGACAACCTCTTCCGCTGTATATAATAGTATAAGATACACCCCAAAATTGTACCAAAGATTAGTCACATGTGACACATTAACATATTCCAAAAGGTTATCGCTAGTTGTAGGTGCTTGGACAGTTAACTTGTTAATTAGGTGACGCGACTACCAAATACGAAATTCTGGAAATTAACTGAAAGAGGACCAAAATCCGATGATGCTTGTAAAAATTAAACCAAATACAATACACCAATTAGGAATTTGATTCTGTCTTCAATATGCTCGGTATTTCTATTATTTGAACAAAATAATGCAGTACAATACAAGACCTTTTTTATTGACGAAGATCAAGAAGACAGGCAGAGAAAGAGAATAGGGAGTGTGGGATTTTTACCTCACTAAAACCTCTCCGGTGATCATCAGCACATAAATGAGGCACCGGGTCCTCTTAGTAGTTACGACACAAGACCATGCCCAATCTTACTTTAATCCCCTCAATCAAATGAAACAAGTGAATTTATTTCTGCAAATAGGCTACAAGGCAGCACTTTTACACGTCAATTGTATCAAGCGAACGATGAGGCCGACATTTCCTAACTGACTACTCTAAGAAGAAATGCCGAAACAAACTCAGAAAATCACCAGACCAGAATCAATCAGAAAGCCACCAACAAAAAAGTCCCAACTCCACAATCTTCACAACCAAACCATTAACTTGATTCTTTAGTATATTCCCTCGCTGACGTACATGCAAATATGGAGCCCATCAGATGCAACAATCTGACCTATTTCTCTTCAACACGTCAGTATTATATCTACATAAGTAATTCAGCTTTCCTTTTGGAGAATAATTCAACATTTTCATTGTACCTTGAGGTGGTTTTATAGGATTTTGCTGTAGGAAAAGGAAGGGAATTACATATATAATTATGCTTGTTTAGGAGTAGAAATGATAAAAACTGATGACTGTTGAGGAAGCGAAAGAGGTCTGTAAGAATCGTAGCAATGGAGACTACCGTTTTTTATTCTTCAGATGGACCTAGTGTGAACCTCTCAAAAAGTCAATAACCAATAGTGTCACTCTAGCTAATTCCTTATTGGACGAAGAGACCAATAGGGAATTAGCTAGAGTCACACTATTGGTTATTGAATTTTTGACAGCTACAGTGATTGGACAAAAAAGCCTGTTTCTATATTTGCGTCATCTGGTGAGCAAAAAGCGGTGGCCTCCATTGGCATTCCAAAGTCTCTGCCTACCCCCATGGGAGACAGGCGTGTGGTTTTTTTTATGGGACAAGCCCGCCACAGCCTCCCGAAACCACTGCAACTCCTGTAAGCCAGGATTTACAGTAGATACAACCATGAAAACACCGGAACCCTGAAGTCCGGCGCGTCCCAGGGACATGAGTAACTGTCTTGGTTCCCGCAACAAAGTGAATCAGAAGATATTATAAGAGGAGAAGAAGAAAAGGCGTGTGGTTATGTATGTGTGTACATATGGAGTAGAAATTAATGGAAAGGGTGTGGCAATAGTAATTAAATAGTTTTGCATGAAAAAGCTTTTAATCCTTTGAGTACCGTCATTATAGACACAATTAAAGAACAATAGGTCACCGGTATCCTCGCGGTGTTTGACAGTTTAATGATAAGGTCATATTGCAAGCAAAATATGGCCGTTGGCCCTATGAAAATTTTCACATATCTAGTTTACTGAATCTCGTAGAACAATTAACTCTTGGAGTACCACAGCAGTCACCGGTAGGTGCCTGACGCTAGTGGAGGTTTTACTTTTATCATTTTAGACTTGACAGTTAAATTGTAAAAAAATTCGAACTTTAGAAGATTTTTAAATTACTTTGTGCGTTTAAATTTGTGTAGAAAGAACATAAAGATCTTGTTCGCCTGAGTTTGTCACCCTTTATAAGTCCTATTTGAAACTTTGGAACAGCTTACTTTTTAATCTCATTAACCACTACGACAAAAAGGTCTAATCCCTAATCAAAGTTATCCAAAAAGTAAAGACACCCACCTATTTCTACGAAACTTAATCCATCAAGGCTATCCAACAAAAACCGATACATACATACATACACACGAACAAACATACAGACAAAAAAGCGTATAAGAAAGTTTATGCATAATAGCTAGCCACGGACAAGTCTGGGCTTTCTTGTGCCTTTTTTATTTCTTTGACAAGTTTTAAGTTTCTTACAAAAAATAATACAGGTCAAGATCAAGGTAGCTACACTAACTTACGCACCTTGGTTTGTCTGCTCGATAGACTTGTAACAGTATTATCGTTCAGTTTCAATTCATAATCTGATAATTTTCACAATCAATTTTGTCATGTAAAACGTCAAACTCAAAGCAGTTATTTCGTTAATATTATTTCTCGTATACAAGGAAAACGATTAATTATACAAATACCTGGTAATCTGTCAGTCATTCATGAGAATGGAATACAGAGGTTTTAACCAAAATCTCTTACTTGCGCCAGTCTAAGCAGAACAGGACTCAAATGGAGGAAAATCATCCAATTACTTCTCCCGCCTTGGGTAGGAGAGAGAGTGTCAGACTCTTACTGACGAAAAGCTGCTGTTCCTACTTCTGCAGAGAGACAGAGGCCCGGTAACCAGCTAGGTTGTCCTCAGGTCCAGAACTCAAGTATTCCTAAATTACGGTCCCTTAAAATCCGATCTCGCTATTTTTTGTATTAGTGTGTATATAAGAATGTTGACGCAACGGCTAATACCTTCTAATGATTTTTATACTCCAATCAATGTTCTTATTTCGTTCGTAAAGTCGTTTATTATCTCCTTTGTTACAATTAACACAGTCACAATTAACTTTCCAACCTTTTCCGCAAGGAAAAGATCGAAGATCTTAAGTGTCGACTACTAACTCTTTCCTGTGTCGAATCACTTTTAAAATCACACAAAAATGTGGTTCATCCACATTTCTTCACTCTTCTTTATAACATTTTATCTGACAAACAAACGGACAATCAGTTAAGTTTCCCGGTAGTAAGGTCATCAGCAAACCAGTACGGGGAAGCTTACGTCATATTACACGTTCGATGCTTTTTTGTTTCACTTTTTTGCAAAAAAACTTTACTGCGCAGCGGAGAAATGGAGTGTGGTAACGTTGTGAGAATATTTATTCATGGTTCTGTATGTATTTGGTCTATAAAGACGAGTATATTAATTTTTTCATGGAATAAGCCGGCGAACATAGTATCTCCTGATTGTAAACAATCCGCGCCGTCCATGAACACTAGAGATGCCACAAGTGCGTTGCCGGCCTTTCGAGGGTTAGAGGTTTGCGGATTGGAGAGAGGTGTAACTGGGCCTCTAATAACCTCCCTTACACGATGAAACATAAAGCAAGTAGCTTCTCGTCAGTTGTTAGAATGAATTGATGAATTGGTTAGCTCAAATCAAAACTTGATAACTAATGGACCTGCACCTGGGATTATCCTTGTACCGCTAAATAAGATTAACCCATTTCTTTTTATCATACTCCAAAATGTAGCTTACTTAATAGATATAGGACTTGTTTTTTTAAATCAACGTTTGGTTTCAAATTAATCGGAAGACCACCTTACCAAAACAGCTTATGATACGTTTTTAAATAACAAGAACATTTGTTACAAAACCATTAAGTCAATATGAATAGAATAATTACAAACACCAACGCTTAATTTCGAGGTACAAAAGCAATATTGGTTACGCCCTTCCAATGAAAGAATAAATAAACAACAGTAAAATAAAGATAGAATTCTTAATTAAACTAAGAGATATTGTAGCTTGAGATCACAAGGATAAACGATCCTTTCTTTAGAAGAGATATTTTTAGCAAGACCTATTTTTTTAACTCCTCTGTTGATAAAATGACGGATGAATACAACGTATAGCCTATTGCCATATAATCTTGGTAATATCCCAAAAAAAAGAACAAGGAAGGGAAAATTCTCTAAAAAAAACGTTCTATATTAAAAAGGAGCACATAATTTATGATCTCTAATACACTTTAAACACGTACTTTCACGTCCTTCGACATTTCCTTCACACCTGCCAGTTGCAAGTTTTTTTCGCGCTCTTTTTGTCCACCATCTTTTTTTTATCTTTTTTAAACGTCGCCGCTCTGACTCATTCGTATAGAGCCAAGCTTTCTTGACAGTGAGGTTGCGTAATCAAAAAAGTTTTTATTCCGTAATTATAATTGACAATTGTGCGATTTTTTGTTGGGATTCTTCAACTTTTTTATCTGTGTTGCTCGGTGAGTGTTATTTTATTAATCTTTTTGTAACATGTTGCGGTTTCGAGTTTTTTGTTTGTTTTTTTTGTGTTATTACTTATGTCATATTAAAGCTTTTCCTTTTAGTTTGAGCTTTTTGTTGATGGAAAGATTGAGTCATCAGTTGCTATGTTTTTTTATTGTCAGTATTAACATAATGTACATAGTATAAGTGCGGTACAACTACAAGGTGATCTCTTTTCATTTTATATAGGGTATCTCCGAATAAGAAATTTTTAGTATTTGTTTTCACGAACGTTTGTTTATTTCTGCGAACTTTCCTTCACTTCCTTATTACCCTAGTCTATAAAATAAAAAGGGTTGTTTTTCTTACCCGGTTAATGAAGATTACATGCGAATTGAGTGAACCACCTTGAGTAATAATGTGTATTTTAGGCTGTTGGTATTACGCATTCTGCTTCGATTCATTGGATACTTTTATCAAATTAATTTAGATTTTTTTTATTATCATATAGGTATTAAAAACCTAAGTTATTTACTTATAACAATTAGTAATGAAGATCAAGCTAAGCTCTAAATTCTTGATTCAATTCTAAAGAATCGTTTTTTTTTTCAACATTTAAATGACTTTTAACTGTTTTATCATCGTTATAATAAACGTCCACTTCCCCCATGACTTATAGTTCCTAGTGCAAGTTCGTTTTACGTTAACGCGATCGACACGTTTATGACGTTCGGCGCTCTGATTGGCCTCCTCCAAGTTAACCCACCAATCAGCGGCTAGACGCGGTGATATATTGATTGCGTTAACGTAAAATAAACTAAGCACTTTGATGGTTAGATACAGTTTACAGTACGTGAAAATAACTCGCACTCAGTATCCAGTTCGTCCGAATTTCATTGTTTGGAGTTGGACAATCTGAATGTACCTTCTTTGCGTTTTTTTTTTTCTGAGGTGCGATAGTCATTCTGTGACTTTCCCCCTCGGGTGAAGCAAGTGGGAGTATTGGTCTCTTACTGACTAAAAACCACCCCGTTCCTACTCCTGCACTTCGAGCCGGAGCCCTGGTAAACCGTTACGTCCTCCGCGGATCCGTATCGGCATCAGCCCTATTGGGCCCCATCTATAGTGGTCTGATGGCTCCTTGAGGCGCGCGCGACGCACCGTACGCTCTGGTCTGGATATCCGTGCTTGCCGTCCGCAGGCCCATTCTTACATACAAACATAACCTCACATCTGCCGCCCATGAGGGTGCAAATACTATGGAATGGCAATTGCTACGATTCTTACACTTTCGGTTCATCAACAATCGGTCGGTCAGTTAAGGGTACTAATTTGCCCTTCTTTAATATATCGCCAATCTAGTCGATAGGTATACCTCCGTCTTTTTTTAAAGGGGGAAAATTATCGAATGGCTGCTCTCGGCTGGGTGAGGCGGGAGGGAGTGTCAGACTCTTACTGACTAAAAACCACCCCGTTCCTTCTTCTGCACTTCGAGCCGGAGCCCCGGTAACCCGTTAGGTTCTCCGCGTCTAGGGTGCCATCTACCGACGGCCGCAGCAAAAATAAAATGGATTAATTTAGTTTAGAGACTGTTGTTATAGAAAATCGTATGTTTCATAACAATGACTATTGTAATCGTCGATTGGTTCAGTGCTTATCAATTCTCTAGGTTCCTACTGAATAAAAACTAATTTCTTAAAACTACTTGGCTGGCTATAAAACAAAGTAAACATCTAAAATAAGCTTAAAATGAAGCCATAAATTATTAGTTTTAAACACAAATCATTTGCCAGGTACCTACAAGTAACGTTCAAATAGAAAAAACCGTTACCACACACGATTCAAAATTCAAATATGGAATTACAAGAACATTATACTACAGTTTTAATACATAATTCTAATTGCCATTATCAAAAATTTAAATTTGAATTATTGAGTCGAAATCGAACACTCAAATTCAAACTCTATACTTGAATATTAAGGTTGGTTTTTCAACGGTTTGAAGAGTCATAAATTACATTAAATGTAAGTTTATTACTTTAATGACAGGTCCACGGATTTCGAGTGATTTAAGACATGAGTTTTTATACAAGAAGAATGAAGGTGATCGGATCAACACGTGCTCTTAAAATATAATTTTCGGTCTGTGGTACTCAAAGTTCGTTTTAATTAACGTTGACATAAAAAAATCATATGTTTGTAGTATGTAGTATATCTATAGTATATAGTGCATAGTGTATCACATGAATATTATAAATTTGAATGTTTATCCGTCAATCACGCTGAAACTACTGAACGGATTTTGATGAAATTTTATATATAGGCAGGGTATGGACTGACTTAGATGGATAAGATACTTTTTATTCCGATGCTGATAAATGCTCCCATGGGAAAAAACAGGAATCATATTCTACGCGGACGAAGTCGCACGCAACAACTCATAGTGTATATATATATATAGTAAAAAATCATATCTTTGTAAGATTTATTCTTAGATCGGAAGTAATAGGTACCTATTGTTGGGATTAGGAAGTAACCTTTTTATGAATCTCAGTTTTAGAACAAAGTCTATATTCTTCCCAGTGCCTTTAGCCAAACGCCACTTTAGCGCTTATCTACAGAGAGAGTAGGAAACTAAATATATGGGGATGACAGTGACAAGTGTCAAAATTTACGTCAATTCCATATAATTTGGTTTTCTATTCTACATGTAGACAAGCGCTAAATGGCATTTGGCTACAGCTGCTGGTATCTTTTTGAAATAAACTGACGTAGGTAAATCGGTTACATTTGAAGTCGAAGTTAAAGCATTTATTTCAGTTATTAATCCTGGGCACTTTTGAAATTTCAAAAATTGAATGTCAAAATAGGTCTTTACTAATAAGGTTATCACAGGATTAATTAATTGTTTATCGTGCACACCTGCATATATTGGCGATGACGCCATGTCATTCATGTTCCTAAATTAAATTAGCTTTATCACTAAAATTACTTCATACACACACACACACACCCTCACACACATACACACACGAAAAGAACACTTTATCCAAATTCCCAAACAACATTTAAAAAAGAAATACAAAAAAAGATCTCCAATTAAACAATTACACAAAAAGAAAAAATTACATCCTTTTTATTCGAAGAATTAACAAAGATTTTGTAGGAAACCGGGTTCCATTAGCCCTGATCCTGCATACCAAGACAATGAACCAATTACGGAGCTGATCTTGAACTTCTTAGCGGTCAAGGATAGAGGTTAGCTGACATTTCGCGCCATCATTCATTGGGTCAATCCAAGATGGCCGCCAAAGGGATATGGGCAATATCCTGAGTTACGTAACGCGCTAATTTTAATGGTCCTTTTACGATTTGGTGTTGGGGAATGTACAGTCGACATGGAATGGAAATTATATATATTTTAACCAACTTCAAAATTAGGAGGTACTCAGTTTGACCTGTATGTTTGTGTGATTATCTCGCGATTGGCTGAATCGATTTTGATACGGTTTTCAGAAAAGTGTTTGTTACACTTAGGAGAAGGATTTAGTATCAATTAACATAAAATAACTCGACTGCCTCGTTGGCTGAGTAGTCGCAAGTGCGACTGCCGGGCAAGGGGACTCGGGTTTGGTTCCCGGGTCGGGCAAAGTATTACTGGGTTTTAAAAAAAATCTCAGTAGTAGCACGGAGTCTAGAATTGTGCCCGGTATAATATGGCAATAGGCTCACCCCCTATTACATGGAACTCATAACATAAATAGTGAGGAGTGGGTGTTACATTATACAATGGTATAATGTGCACCTCTGCCTACCCCTTCGAGGATGTCGCGGAGAACCTAACGGGTAACCGGGGCTCCGGCTCGACGTGCAGGAGAAGGAACGGGGTGGTTTTTAGTCAGTAAGAGTCTGACACTCCCTTCCGCATCACCCAGGCGGGAGCAGTTTCCCCCCTTAAAAAAAAAAACCCCTTCGAGGATAAAAGGCGTGATGTTATGTTATGTTTAAACCTTCTCTTAAGTGTTAGGAATTTCTATTCTTTCTGCAAATTGGTAACAAAATTGCATCGAAACAAATTCAGGAGTCATAGTCGTTATTAAAGTCTAAATGAAGTAATCATAGTTT